GGTTTCCACAGGAAACAGCTGCTGGCAGCTACAAAACATTTACAGCTTCTTCTCCGCAAAGAAAAAAAAGTTAGGGGGTGGGTGGGCAGGGGCGACAGGGGAGGCAGAAGTTGCCTCAAGGGACCGAGGCTCCCTTGCTGGGCTCAGGGCCTCCCAACCCCGTATCTGGAGATGGGGGCATGTGGGCCCTGCTGAGCCCACTAAGGCTGGGGGGCTGGGAGCTCAGGGCACCAAGGGGAATAAATAGGGGCGTGGGCACCAGTCCTGCCCCACCTCAGTTGAGGGAGCCACGGCAGCTCTCGGTGCCACACAGACATGGGATCTTGTTGTCCTCCAGCGGGAACTTGTAGTCATAAGTGATCTCCTCATCCACACCAATGGGCTGCTTGGAGTAAATCACAATCTTCTTCTGGGACTCGATGGTGATCACCTTGGCATAGCAGTTGGGCTACAGGAGGGGAGGGCAGTGTGAGCCGTGGCCGCCCTCCACCCCCATGCCCATCCCACCCTGGCCTGGCCCCCCGCGCACCGTGCAGCAGTGGTTGATGAACCTCGCCAGGTTGCCGCACTTGGTGGCATCGATGATGGTGTCATGGTCCACCCGGAACAGGTAGCTGCTGCCGATGCCTTCCTGCACGTAGCGCTTCTCCCGCATGTCAGCCACCATCTGGTAGGATGGGGTGCCGCCACAGTCAGGGTGCTGTCCCTCAGCTCCCTGCCAGACCAGGCCTGACCCCACCAGCCCCCGTGAAGGGGATCGGGACAGTCACCCACCTACCACCCTGGGGGCCACATCAACCTGTCCTGGACCTATGTAGCTCTTCTCTGGCTGTCAACCTAAGGCGATGATACTCTCACTGCTTCCAGGAGCCCTCCCTCATAGGGCCTCTCCAACCCTGACACCTTTGGCTGCCACTGTGGTGGTCACTGGGCAGGAGCAGTGGCCACTGGCTCCTCCTGGAGCCTCTGCCTGGCCCCTAGTGGAGCCCCCAGTGTATGGTGAGGCTGGGCCACTTCCCGAGAGGACAGTGGCCATTTCATGGACTGACGCCTGTTCATCTCTTCTCCCAGGACCCTCTCTCTCCAAAACAAGCACCCATTGGCTGCCACCTGTCACCATTAGTGCCCACATTCTGTGCAAGGAGGAGTAACTACTTCCCAGGAAATGCACAATAAGGCCCCCTGTATTCTCTTCTTGGGTGATCTCACTCTCTTCCAGGGCTTCAACTGCCAGAAAAGTGGTGGGGACTCCTCCCAAACTTCCATCTCTAGCCAAAATCCACCTCCGTGGAGCTGCTGGGCGTCATCCTCTAGATGTCCCCGGGGCCCTGCAACTCCACATGTGCCAATTGGAACTCATCTCAACCACAGAGCCGCTCCTCCTCCTCACTCCCCACCTCACTGGCAGGCGACCTACCCTAGCTGCTCAGAGCAGCACTGAGAGGTGGCCTCACCTCGCCCTTGCCCTGACTCTCCAGAGCTAACTTGTCGTCTGGTCCCGCCAGCTACCTTGGACCCACAGGCTCCTCTGTTACCCCAGTTGCCACTACTTGAGGCCACCAGGGCCTACTGGGATCTCCGCAACAGCGCCCCACTGGTCTTCGTCTCTAGCTGTCCCCTTTGTCCCACAGCAGCCAGTGCCTGGTGCTTCACGGCAGCTTCCCTCTCCTTACCCCTGGCCCCAGCTCACCAACATGGCTCCCAAGCTCCGTGGAGACTGGCTCCGCCTGCCTCTCTAGGGTTATGTCACGGTGACCTCCTTGCCCTCCTTAGACTACCCTGCCTTTTCATGTGCTGCTGGGCAACTGGGAGCATCCTTCCCCTCATCTGAGTCTGGTATTTTCTCATCATCCTTCAGCTCCTGCCTTAAACATCACCGTGCGCCCATCGCTGCTGCCTCCCTGAGCCCCTTTCTGATCAACCGAAGGCCATCCTTTCCTGCAGTTGTTTGTGCAGCGCCTGTCTTCCTCCACTAAACTGTGCGAGGTGCTTAAAGGGAGAGAGAATACTGGTCTTGTTTCTTGCTGGATCATCACCATCTAGTTTACTAGTATCCGTTACTAACTGTTGAAGGAAGGAAAAACAGAAAGAGGCAGGCTTCACCGACTATGTCCTGGAGCTGGGAGGTTATATGGGGCTTTATGCAGAGAATGGATGGCATTCATGCCAGCATCCCCTCTGACTGGGGGCTGGGTTCGGGGCCTCACCTGGCGGATGTTCTGACCCACGTATTCGATGACCATCTCGTCAGCTGCGATGGGTTCCATGGCAAACAGTCCCCACTCATGGATCCGGCTCCGGCCGAATCGGAGCTTCTTCTTCCGGAACTAGAGGGCAGAAGGCAGACTGTGCTGCTGGGTGCCTCCCTCAACCTAACTCCTTGCTTTTCCTGCAGACCTCTAGGGCAGGAGGGTTCTTTGGCCACTCACCTCCCTCCATGCCCACCCCTAGGGGACTTCATGATGCTGCCCTCCCACCAAGCCTCTCTTCCCCCAAGTCCCTGCTCTTCACCTTGAGCTGGTTTAGCTTTAGCAGATCACTGTCCATGATGGCAGAGGTGCCAATGGCACTCAGCAGCCGCCGCTGCTCAGACCGGCGCTCCGAAAGCACACGGTTAGTCCCCTGGGAGAAATAGGACAGAGGTGAGGTAAGCGACAGGAGAAACCATGGGAAGAGATCCCAGTGGGCCAGATACGAGGGCAGAGCCTTACCTGAGTGTCCGCTCCTTCTAGCTGCCGGGCAGAAACAGGACACACATCCAGGTACCTGTCTTTTTCCTTCTTGCTGATGGGGTAATAGCCTTCACTTCGGGCTGAGCCTGTCTGGTGCTCACGGGGCCCATCCTGGGGCCGCCGCTTGCGTTTTGGAGTGCTCAGGTTGGTGAGTGCAGGATGTTAAGGAAGAAAATGGGTTCCTGACTGGCCAGACCCCTGGGGCCCCTCCCCTGTCTCCCCAGTCCCAGCCCAAGGAAAGGGTGACTGAACTTAGCTGGAGGTCCTCAGCATATTTAGTGAGGATAGAAAAAGAGAGAGAAGGAAGTCTCAGATCCCACATTTTCTGCCAGAAAAACTTGGGGAGCCAGAGAAGGGGCAGGAGACAGAGAGAAAAGGCTGGCCCGGAAGCTAGAGGAGAAATACCCAAGCTGAATGCGGCAGACAGAACAGGATAGGGAGGGAGATAAAGGTGCTAGCTGCAATCTGAGGGGGACGTTATTACCCAGCCGTGCAACCCCAGGGAAGCCTGCCCCCACCCCTGGGGCCTGCCTTCCTGTCCAGAGCAGGCCGGCCTTAGGGCCCAGGATATTGGTGTGATGGACCCAGTGGGTGTCATTAAGCCAGTCAGCCCCGCTTGTCTGCTGCAGTAGCCGCTCGTATGTGAGCCGCAGGTAGCCCATGTCCTCCAAGTCCAGGCCTGAGTTCCAAATGTCATACAGGATGGTCATCTGCTCAAACTCACTGCGGGGCTCGAAGGAGGGGGGTGGAGGGGGTGGGGGGG